TGAGTTTAGGTTGGGGTTAGGGTTAGTCAAGAACCCGTAATGGTTAGTATCACACCTTAGGCATGGAGGGACACGGGAATGGAGCAGAACTATTACTGAACAATTTTATTAGGCAGCCTTTCTCTTGGTCGTACAGGCTGGGGTCAGGTTTAGGAGGTCAATCCAGCTAAGCCTCCACTGTTACTATGTACTTCACTGCAGTACTCCTTGGACAGCTTCAACTACAGTATGCCTAAAGATTCTGTAAAAGTTTAAAAAACAATCCACTGGACTTGATTTCCAAGGTTTGAAGACGTTTCGCTTCCCCTCCAGGAAGCTTTCTCAGTTCAAATGTCTGGATCCGCAGTGAGTTTGAGTCTTTATATAGACAAGGCCTTGTATTGCTTGGAAAGATGGGAAGCGAAACATGTTCAAACATTAAAAACCAAGTCCAGTGGATTGTTTTTAAACTTTTACGGGATGACTATGACCTGGATGACTGAGAATCTTCATCAGCATACCAGATAAAGCCAACATCTTGAAAAAAATATATTTTGCATGATATGCATTCAAATATTATGGCATATTTAATTATCTGATTAACCATTAGATAAGTAGTGTATGTAGTTAGAATTGCACATTTAATGGTTTTATTAATTTCCTACATTTTTTATTTAAAATTGTCTTTTTTGGCCCCCAATACACAATGAGTTGAATGAACAAAAAGGAATTTGTTTCAGACAATTTTGACAAACTATAAATCTACCAAATACAAAAAGAGACTGGTTAACACCAAACCAAACTTATTTTCAAACAAAATAAATTCACCTGTACGTAACTAGAAACAAAACCCTCCACCAAATAAACCTGTTGGTATATACAGCCAGAGAATGGACATTGATTAATGGAAATTTTTTTTTACGAGCTACAAAGTAGTAAAACCTTTTTTTATACCTCCTCTTACTAATTGCTCTTAAAGTAATGTTCCTCTTAAACTTGTGTTCTTTATCCAATATTCACACACACACACAAAAAAATACACATATACACACAATTATATATATATACACATAATTATAAATATATAGATCACTACATATATGTAAATGTACACATGCATACCTACAGAAACATCAGGCCAGAATCCACATTAACACCCTTGGACACATAGCTACCTCAGTGGAGTATTAAGTTTACTATTGATCAAAAAAATTAAATTTGGTCATCGAAGTGTACATCTATGCCAAAAATATTAGGAAAATGGTAGATTATTTTTACAGTTATTTTTTTCTCCAGAAAAAAAGTATATGCTCTATTAGCTTTAAACTCTATAAATAATGATAATGATTAGATACTGAAAATGTATACCTTTAATAAAGGAAAAAAAAAATACTTACATGTGTGAAATTACTCTTTCCTTTTCACAATAATGACCCTTATACTCCACTGTAGGTAGCTGGCAGTTGTTTCTATATGCTCCATGATTATATTATAATAGCTCTAGCCCTCGGAATATTTTTCTTGAAATTACAGGTTTTAAAAATGTCAGAAACCATTGTTTTTCCTAGGTCAGGTTCAGTTTAACATTTCTGAATGAAGTCATCTCCAAAGTCAATAATTTTCCTCAGGGCACTCAGGATCAGAATATCAATGTCATTGTTCATCTCAATTTCATCGCTGTAGTTCTTTATAGGAAAGATGCAGTTCAATGGAATTCCCACTGCTGAACTAAAGTCCTTCATCTGAAAGTAAAAGCAAGTAACAATTAGACTGGAAGATGTGTTACATATCTTAACTGAAAAGGATGATTCAAATAAAAAAAAAAACTTACTTTTTTGTACAGGTGTTTGCTCCTGTACACATTCTTCAGGTCTTTGTTAATTTCATTACAGGCAGAATCAATATGGGTCATCAGACCAATTTGGGGAATTCCTGTTGATATGCAAAGTGTTAGAGGTAGGAAATATTCCCTTCTCGGACTTGTACACTGTCATTAAGATTAAGGGTAAACAGAAAATAAGAAAGAAGAACATTCCAGCAGATGACAGTGGTGGGAAGTTATTAAAAAAAAATTCCATTAAGTCTGATTAGATTCATTTGATGCATTTCTTCATTGATCTGAATAAAATCCTGTCTACATACTTACCCTGCTCACTGGCCGTTTCTCTGACCTTCTTCATCTTCTGCAGAACTGAAGCATTAATTTGTGGAGTGTTGGCTGACAAAACACAGGCCAGAACGTGCACTCTGTCACTAGCAGAGGGTGTGGGGTTGTAACCAAAATCATCTTCAGTCAGTTTTCCTTCTGAGTTGAACTATTAAAAAACAAACAAGATAGTTGAAATACCAAATTTCACAGATTTAACACTACATCTAAAAACAGTTTATTGGACATATATTTGTTGTAATATTTACATACAAAAAAGATACAATAAAATTGTTAGGACCGACTCTGTGATAGGACCCAGATCATCGGCTAGGCAGGTTGGAGTGTTAAACACTGTAGATGAAAAAGACTCCAGTGCATAGATGCTAGTCAAAAATATTTTTTTTCGATTTTTCCCAAAATACTCAGTTCATTCATGAAATTACTAAGACGATCCACCAAAGAACTGGGGCATTTCAGAAATAAAAAGTCCAAAAGATCCAAAACTAAAAAAAAAATGTTTGGTAACACCAAAAGTTCTCCTAAACATAAGTCGTCCAAAAGCATACAGCATTAAAGTCCCAGAGTGCAAAAACTAAAATAAGAATGCAGAGTGGCTCACCAGAGGCATGGACGCTAGACAAAGACTCAATACCTAATAAACAACAAAAAAAGACCTTACACACACAGTCTAATTGCACAATTAACAACAGGTAGCAGAGGAGGGAAACAAACTCACAGCCAAAATAAAAGCAAAATAGTCCAACAGCAGTTCCTGGTGGCCAGAATAACTAGCACCTAACAAAAACAAAATAGTGCTTCTCTTGTTCAGTGTATATGGATAAGCAACATCTCAGACATTGAGATATATGATATCTAATGATATATAGGCATTAAGGAAATCAACACCAGTAAATAGATATGGGACCTATTTTATCTCTTAATAATCAAGGAGCAGGTGAGCAACCTAAAATCAACAGAGTTCCCTTGTCTGCAATGTCCAGTCCCCAGGCAATCACCATAGTAAAAAAAGTTAATAATGTATTAGGCTATCATAATGTTGTTACAATTCTTACAGTGCTTGACTATATAACAATATTTTCTAGTGCTTTTTTATTTGGCCTGACAAAAAATACACAGAGAAAGAAACAGAATAAATGACAAAACTCATGTGTTTGTAATTATTCTTACCACTGACTGGGCAAATAAGACAGCAGGATTAACAAAGCCTGGCTGTTAGCCTGGTGTGGAGCAGGCTAGGTGCAAAGAATAAATCACCATGGTAACTCATGAGTTACTGCTCAAAGTCTAAGTTTAATTAGACCAGGATATTTGTAAAATAGGCCTCAAGAGACCTACTGATTTATTATTCAAAAGGAAGCTGCAAAATAGTCTTACTGGTACACATAACTGGATTCAGAGATGTTGCGATAGAAGTTACCAAAGAAAATTACATACAATCTTAATAATGGGTGTGCATGTTGTTTGTTTACTATTAGCTCTAAATGATCGATTATTTTATCTAAGGCATATAGATTAGCAAGAAAAGTTCTTATAGTTAATTGCTTCTTGTTAGCCTTATGGTTCTCCTGCAAGACAAAAGTAAACTGCATTCTGCGTGTCCTCACAGGGTCAACTACGACAACACACTTGCTCCTGGGTTAAGGCGGTCAGTGCTGAGGGCTGTGGGTGCATTAAATAGTTACAGAAAGCAGCTTGGGGAGTTCCACAATTTAAAAAAGCTCACTTTCCACAAACTGCTGCTCTATAGTTTGGAAAATTAGACACACAGGATTAGCCTTTCGCCGGCTTACTTCTGGTCTAACCAATGGATTCTCGAATGGCCATGTATGTAATAAGTACTCACACCGTTGCAGCAATTAACTGCCCTGACTCAAGCCATTAAAATAAAGGATTTCACAAGACAATGGCGCCGTGTTACTTCTCATCTAATGACCAACCAGAACTTTGAACTTGTTGGTGATGCACCTCTTTCCTTCTTAAGAAACCATCTATTATCTTCCAAAGATGGGAGTTAGAATGCAGTCCACACCACCTTCAAAACAAACAAAAAAACTGTAGGTAGTAGATAGAACCTAAATAGACAAACCTATCTTTTAAAATGTAACCAGGATTGATTTTTTTTGTCCTCACAGATTTCAGTTCTTTGGGAATTAAATGAAGTCCTCTTCCAATTCTTAGTTTGACTTTTCCACGTCAAACCCTGCTTTTTCCCTCTGCTTCTTGTTAGACGGCTGTGTCGGGGGATGGCAAGATATATTTGATATGTATTTAAATCGTATAACTGTCATGCAGGAGCAACAGTATCCATTCCTAGTCACATTAGATTTAAAGTAATAAATTGACAGGTGGAATTTTTATTACCTGGATGTGTAAAGACTTTATTGAAGTCCTACCTGCTTTCACTGAGTTCCTTTTTTCTACAAAGGCTAATGTCTTTCAAGAATCAGTTACTGTGAACCTAATGAAACATTTTTTAACCAACATTATCATGTCTTTAATCATGTAAAACCTTTTAGTAATCCACCAGGCAATTTGAATTTTCTTTCAGCTTTAACAACTGTAGCTCAAAATATCCTATACACTAGCTAGTCCTAGTAGTGGGTCCTAATTTTACCTTGTAGCCCTCCCTCACGTGTCCTTTTAAAGCCAGCTTGATATTGTCGGGATGAATTCCACTGTTGTTCCCATCTTCTAGACCCCTGGTGTCATTGAAAACCACAGGGTAAAATGTCTTTGAACTTCCCCGTCCTTTACTGAATTTATGAGTTGCATACTGAAATGCAAAGGAAAAAAAAACATGTTGATCCAGAGAACATAGTTCATTCACATTAAAGTCATGTTTCTGATCAATAGGTCAAAGTCTTACTGTACAGAGGAAACAGGAATAAAAACAAAGCAGAACTCCATTTGGTCATAAATCTCAACTATGTAATCTAGAGGATCCACGTTCATTAATCACATCAGTTGCCAGGATTCAGTTTGTCCTGCAGTGAATCCATCATAAACCTTTGCATGCACCTCTATATTAGTTTAGGTCACAAGTCAGTAGGCCAATGTTGACTGTAATTCACTGGTAGCTTGACACGTTTTTTTTTTCTTCTTTTTTTCTCAGCTATAAGCTCTGAGAAATCATAATTCCTTGAAAAAAATGTTCTAATATCTCACAATGAGAGTGACTGTGAAAAATGAATAAAATCTTTATAGTAATTTTTTTTACTTTTTTGGTGAAATATCTCTCGCAGGTCAAACTGCAGGTTAAAGCAGGAATCGTTATTCGGCCTCGAAGAACAGTACTGACAGAGTTAATGACACTGGATTTTCCAGCTCCAACAGGTCCATACAAGAGAACACGCAGATACTTGATGTCTTCTCTGAGAGGTTGGTACTCTTGCACATAATCAAGGTCCTTCTGTCTCTGTCTGAGAACAGAAAAAGAAAATCATGAAGTTTGGTACTTCTCTTTCATTATGAAATAAACATAACAAAACAAAGCCTAACAAGATCTAAACCTACCATAAGCAGTGTGTCAATTAACCTGAGAATTTCAAATCTAACCCAGTGTTCTTAAAAGTTATATCTTTGATACTTTTAAAAGAGAGCAGATGGGTGAGCAAAAAGTATTATTCTATTCTATTCATTTCTATCTAATGGTGAATTCATATTAAAATGCAGACTACTTCTTCATCTGAGTGTAAATGCAGACTTTTGTTTAGAGCTGGATCCGATTGCTTATTTTATTAAACATTGTGCTACTTTCTGGTTTGTTTTATGTGTATCATTATTCTCTGTTTTCTTTTAGTAAAATCTTTATTTTCAGGTAAATGGTCTTTTACAGTGAAAACGGCACCATAGACTGTTCTCTGTAATCCTGCATACTCATTTTGTAAACTTGCATTTATGTTTTTTCAAAACTAATGCTGTCTCTTAACCTGCCTGTTAACTGTGTATTTTATTTTCAAGTTTTAAGGGTTAAATGTCTAGCCTTAGCAAAACCCTACACTTAACTCCAGTATGTAAATATGCTTCTGAAATTATGTTCTGATTCTAAAAGCAGAGTTTAAAACAAATAAAGCTTCAACTTGAACTTGGATTCATAATGATGTTGATAGACCCACAGCTTCAGATCAATAAAATATAGCGTCCTACCTTTAATTTATATAATGAATGACTTTACCTGGGTTACATCCAAGAACATAAAGTCTGTGTTTGGTAGCATAATTAATCATTCAATATGATTATTTTTATTCCAGCTTCATAGCTGATTTGGTTCTGCTCCCTTTATCTCCTTTTTGGTTTGTTTTTCATCAATTCATTGTGTCTTAGTCCAATTCTCAAATCCTGCTGAATCTTCTACAGTCTTTCCGAACATTTGATCCCTCCCCTGCAGCTTTTTTTGTCTCAGTGCTTTAATTTGGCTTTGTGAGAACTCATCAGTTACTGATTGAAGCAGAGTAAAGACCAGCAGTTGTAAACAGACTGTTTAATGAGCAAATATAAAGGTTTTAAAGTAGACTTACTCCCAGCATAGTTCCCTCCATGGTTTATCCAGAACTACATGGAAACATAGATTGATCTTATTACAAAAAAGAAAACCTGAAGGACATCCAGAAATAAATGGTAATAACTTACGTGTAAAGGCTGACATTATTGAAAAGATATATATCTGAAAAGATACAGGTGAAATATGTTCAGGGAACATATATAATGTTGTTAAATAAAAATAATTCTCAAACATTTTGTTTAAACATAGCTTAAACAGACTGCTGGAAGGTTAATTGTCACAACAAACATTTTGTTTTTCTATTTAAACCTGTTCATTACAGGGGGAAAAAAAAACACTTAAAAGAGCCAGTTTGCTTATTTTAGGGCAGATACTGTACATGCCATTTTAGCAAGTGCTGAATTAATATCAGAGATTTGAGTCTGTACTTACCAAGATGATTGGGGCAGTGCAGCTCTACAAAATGTTTTACTCAGCAGAACAGATGGTATAAGAAGATATTGATGGTGAAATATGATATGAAGCTGCCTGCAGTTTTTTAAATCCTTCTACTGCTTCGTCCGTGCTGCAAAATGAAACCAAATGTATCCTACCCTCTGCTTATATACCCTCTGTAAGCTTTAATCACATGTCTTCTGATAAATCAGCTGTACAATTTTTTTTTCTTTTTCCTTCCTTTCTTTCCTAATTTTTATTTCTTTTTTTTTTGTGCAACAAAGACATCCAAAGAGAGGAAAGGTTTATCAGAAATATTTCTGTGTGTAAATGTAATGCTTATTCATTAAGCATGATGAATATCATTTGTGATATGCTGAATTAGTTCCATGGCATATCATACGTAAAACTTTGAATGAATTACACACTGAAGCTGTGTTCACACTGTTAGAGAAATGTAAATGTTGTAATTTTATTTTGTTAACTTACATGCATTTGGCCTGTTAGGAATGTTATGTTGTTTTTAACTTCAAACAGGGAGTTCAAATTGTTCTACCAGAAAGGGAAATGTTGTGTCTTATCCAGCTGTTTGGTAGCACCACCGGCACCCCCCCTTTTGTATGTTGTAAACTTCTGATCCCTCCTGGTACTTCTTTGAAGTCTTATAATAAAGGCAGGGGACAGAGAGGTCCCAGCACAGTACAGTTGATCTATCAGAAGACATGTGATTAAGGCTAAGAGAGGATATATAAGCAGAGGGAGGATGTTTTTGGTTTCATTTTGCAGTATGGACACAGGAGTATAATGTTTTAAGAAACTGCAGGCAGCTTAATTGATCATAATTTAAAATCAATATCTTCTTATACTATCTGTTCCGCTGAGTAAAACGTTTTGTAGAGCTGCACTGCCCCGATCATCTTGGTAAGTACAGACTCAAATCTCTGATATTAATTCAGCACTTGCTAAAATGGCATGTCTCTGCCCTAAAAAATGAATAGGTTTAAATAGGAAAAACAAAAGTTTTTCTTGTGACAATTAACCTTCAGCAGTCTGTTAAAACTATGTTTGAACGAAATGTTTGAGAATCAATTTAATTAAACCCTGAACATATTTCATCTGTATCTTTTTGAAGGAGCGAATAATTTCAGCCTCTACACATAAGTTATTACCATTTATTTCTGGATGTCCTTCAGGTTTTCTTTTCTTTCTTTTTTTTTTTTATAAAATCAAACTATGTTTTTATGTAGTTCCAGATAAACCATTGAGAAAACTACACTGGGAGCAGGTCAAATTTTATACTTTTATATATTTGCTCTTTACCTTTATATTTGCTCAATAAATAGTCTGTTTACAACTGGTGGTTTTTACTCTGCTTTTGTCTGTAACTGATGAGTTCCAGCAAAGCCAAATTAAAGAACTGAGACAGAAAAGCCGCAGGGGAGAGATCAAATGCTCAGAAAGACTGTAGACAATTCTGCAGGATTTGAGGATTGGGCCAAGACACAACGAATTGATGAAAAAATTAAGGAAAACAAACCAAAAAGGAGATAAACGGGGCAGAACCAAATCAGCTATGAAGCTGGAATAAAAATAATCATATTTCAATGATTAATTATGCTACCAAACACGGACTTTATTTTGTTGGAAATAACCCAGGCAAAGTCAGTCAATACATAAATTAGAGATATGACGCTATATATTATTGATATGAAGCTATGAGTCTATCAACATCATGAAAGCAGTCATTATGAATTCAAGTTCAAGTTTGAATCAGAACTTTTAGAATCAGAATATCATTTCATAAGCATATTTATTTTACCAGAGTACACACCAGAGTTAAGTTTAGGGTTTTGCTAAGGCTGGATATTTAACCCTTAAAACTAGAAAATAAAACAGGCAGGTTAAGAGACAGCATTAGCTTTAAAAAACACAAATGCAAGTTTACTAAATGAGTATACAGAATTACAGAGAACACTCTATGTGTTAGGAACCCAGTTTGTGTGGGTTGTGTTTTTGTGTGTTTTTGTGTCTTTCTCTGCCTCCACCACCAGGTGGTGCCCTGTCCTCGTTCGTTGGTCCTCTCACACACCTGCGGCTGGTTGACTCATCAATGAGGACTATTTGAGCCATGGACTGTCACTACCTGTGTTTACCAGTTTTGGGTACTCTAGCCAAGCTGAGTTTTGCTGAGTCTAACTTCGACTTTGTTTTTTGCTGAGCCTAACCTAGTTTTTGTCTTTGCCTTTTCAGCAGGAAGCCTTCCTGCATGCTGGATGTTGAGCTTTCTCCCCCTGGAAGGTTGCTTGAGTCTCACACTGAGCAGGGGATAAACCTCCACAAGTTCCGTTCAAGTCCTCCTGGATTCCCAAGTGACAGTCCGCTCAATAGCTCCTCTGGGTCAAACCAAGTCTATACCTGTCCGCCCTCTAACGAGTCACAACCTCTAGAAAAACCCACACCGACTGGATTCTGGGAAGGAATGTTTTCTCCACTAACGTGAGTCCCGTTTTCTCTGTCTCTCCAAGTCATCGTTCAAAGTTCCCACGGATCCTGAACTAACCACTGACATTTCCCTTCCCTCTTCCAGTTCCGGTTTACCAGTTCACTGTGTTTCCTGAATCCCACCCCGCTGGTTTCATCAATAAACCTGTTCAAACTTTTACCCTGGTTCTCTGAGTGGTTTACTGCATGAGGGTCAGACCTCTTAAGAAAATCATGACAAAACACTCTGGCCAAACCATTAACCAGCAACAAACAGCCTTATCCAGACATGATAACACTTTGGTTGAACTGATCCACCAGCAAATGGAGTTAAATTGTCGTGTGACAGACTTAAGTGAAGCTGTCCGTTTTTCTCTCCAGGCTGTGCGCCCAGTCGGTTTAATAGCCCGCCTCAAGCTAACAAACCAGCATTTTCTGGTTTAAGCTGCCCAGTGCTCCCAGGTTCGATGGTAACCCCAAGAAGTGCCGGGGTTTCCTTATGCAGTGTGTCATCCAGTTCAACCGTGCCCCAAGTAAGTTCCCTTCGGACTCAAATAAGATTTCGTATATCATTTCTCATCTAACTGACCGAGCACTGGATTGAGCCAAGGTCAGATTTTCCTCATCCCCTGTTTATGGCTGCACCTTTGAGGAATTAATTACCGGATACAAGCAAACCTTTAACCAGGATAAGACTCTGAACTCCTGTGAGATGCTGAAATTAAAACAAGGACAGAGGTCTGTATCCAATTTCGCCATTGACTTTCGCATTCTGGATGCTGCTTCGGGCTGGGATAAAACAGTCCTAATGTGTGTTTACTCTAACGCTCTTAATGACCCCATTAAAGATGAGCTAGCCACCCTCGATGAACCTGAATCTCTGGAGAATCTAATCAAGCTGTCAATCCGTTTGGACAATCAGATCCGATCTTGAACCAAGGAAAGAGGTACCAAAGCTACTCCTTCCAAACCTTTTCCTTCAAGTAACCTTTCTACTGAACTTCCTACAATCACTCCTCCGCCTGAGCCCATGCAGTTAGGCAGCATGAGACTTTGCTCAGAGCAGAAACAACACCGCATGCGGGCTAAGCTCTGCATTTATTGTGGAGAGGCTGGAAATTTTGTCTCTTTGTGTCCCCTTTTGGTAGAAGTCAGGGTCCACCAGTAGATACGAGGGTACTGGCGGATCAGAAAATCTGCCCCTCTTCACCTCGTCTACTTTTGCCCGCTTCTCTACTAATCAACAATAAGTCACTCTCCCTTTCAGCTCTCATTGACTCCGGTTATGAACAAAATTTAATTGATTCTTCCTTTGTTCAGCAGATGGGTATTGAGATTATACCCCTTGAGAACTCTCTTCGAGTATTTGCTCTGGACGGTAGAAACCTGCCCCAGATAACCCACCAGACACTCCCCATTCAGCTTACCGTTTCTGGAAATCATACAGAACACATCTCTTTTTACGTTTTTCCCACAGCTAACTCTGCTTTGATTCTAGGATTTGAGTGGCTCCATCTTCATAACCCCACTATTAATTGGACAAACAGGCATATTTACTCGGTCTGTAAACTGTCACTCTCATTGTCTCAGATCTGCCGTTCCCCCTGGCTTCCAACCATCTTTATTTTTATTTGTGAGTGGACGCCGGTGCGTTTTGCAGCCGCTGCTCTCTGTTTTTAAGTTATTTTCAACGTTTTTACGGAACTCAAGAGTCTGGGTGTCATCCTCGACTCCTCCCTCTCTTTTCAGTTTCACATAAACAAAATTACCAGGTCTGCATACTTCCACCTTCGCAACATTAACCGTCTCCGTTCCTCCCTCACCACTCACACTGCCTCTGTCCTTATCCACAGCCTCATCACCTCCCGTCTTGATTATTGTAATTCTCTTCTTTTCGGCCTCCCTCATAAATCTCTCCATAAACTTTAACTTCTTTGAAACTAAGCTGCTCGTGTCATCACAAGAACCCCCTCCTTTCATCATATTTCCCCTGTCCTTCACCCATTTGCTCCGAGTTCAATTCAGAATTCAATTTAAAATCCTTTTCTATACTTTCAAAGACATCCATAACCTTGCTCCTCCATATCTGTCAGACCTCCTTCACATTGCCACCTCCTCCCGCTCCCTTAGATCCTCTTCCTCCATCCACCTCACTGTACCCCCAGCTCGACTTGTCACCATGGGGAGCAGAGCCTTCAGCCGCTCTGCTCCCCAGCTCTGAAACTCACTTCCTCCCGACATCCGCAGTATTGGCTCTCTCCCCTTATTCAAAGCCAGACTCAAAACCCATCTGTTCCAGCTTACTTATATGTGAATACACTGCTCTTTTCCCTATCCATAATTTATGTTTTTATGTTCCTGTATTTGTATTTTTGTATTTTCATCTTTCTTTTTATTTATTTTTTGTATTTTCTGTAAAGTGACCTTGAGTGTCCAGAAAGGCGCTGTTAAATAAAATGTATTATTATTATTATTATTATTATTATTATTATTATTATTATTATTATTATTATTATTATTATTATTATTATTATTATCTGAGTCTTGTGAGGTAGACAAACCTGATCTCTCCTCTGTTCCTGCTGACTACCACAACCTATCTTAGGTATTTAGCAAAACTAAAGCCTTTTCTCTGCCTCCCCACAGACCATATGACTGTGCTATTGATCTGGTCCCTGGAGCCCCTCTGCCTAGCAGCCATCTGTTCAATATCTCCAAGCCAGAAAGGGAATCTATGGAAAAATACATTTAAGAGTCCCTGGCTGCAGGTATTATTCGTCCATCTTCATCTCTTCTCTGTGCTGGATTTTTCTTTGTGGGAAAGGAGGATGGTTCCCTTAGACCCTGTATTGACTACAGAGGCTTAAACCAAATTACAATCAAGAATAAATATCCTTTGCCCCTTTTGTCATCTACTTATGAGCCTGTTCAAGGAGCCACTGTCTTCACCAAACTGGATCTCAGAAATGCCTATCATCTTCTTCGTATAAGGGAGGGAGACAAATGGAAAACCGCCTCCAAAACTCCCATTGTCATGAGCTGAGGACAGATGGACCCAGTATTCAAGGAGAGACAGTCAGTAGGAAAGTTCAAACCGTTTATTAAAGAACAAACAAAAACTAAAGTGGAGCTGTGGCTCACGGATAATGCAGGAGGGAGGCGGGGCACCGCCCAATCTCTCACTCTGTGGGAGAAACACAGGTAAGTGACCACGCTCTTCTGACTGAAGATGATGATCTCAGTTCAGATCTCAGTCACTTACCTGGTTTAGCAGTTCAGTCCATACCCCTTGAGGGGGGTGCAATCCAGCCGATGGGCTGACAGCTGACACGGCTCGCGTCACCCACAGTGTCCCTGTTGCTGCAGCTCCGGAGGAGTTTCAGGAAGCCGATCCAGACCAGTGATACAGGGCAGAACAGGAACAGACAGATCAGAAGGGATCCAGATCAGGCAGGAACAGACAGGTGACATGATCCAGGCTCCCAGACAGTTTCGGAGTCTGACAGAGTTCAGAAGCGTGGCCAGACGGTCACACACAGGAGCAGACAGGATCAGGTGCAGACAGGCCGGCTCAGTGGCATAGTGTAGCCGAGACAGGACGTAGGAACCAGAACCTGATGCAGGACCTTTAAACTGGTCTCCTCCTTGGAGCCAGGCTTACTGAGATAACAACTGAACCTCCCTACATATAGAGCCAAAAACCCAGAGGACTCCGCGGGGGAGGAACAGTGGATGATCAGGAGATGAGACAAACACAAAACCCTCTTTCCACTGGCCGCCAGGATCCAGGACATGAACCAAGAAAAAAACTGAACTGACAGGCTAACAGAAAAACAGTTAAACAGACTAGTGTTGGGATCCTCAGGCTTGCCCACCAGAGGGTGCCGAGGATCCTCTTCTGCTCTCTTTTGTCTCTTTCTCTTAGGGCTGGAGTCACTGTCAGGTTCTGGAGATTACCCTCTGCCTCCAGCAGAGTGCGCCGTGGGTCCTCCTGAAGCTGAGCCTCTCACACACCTGTGGCTGATCTA